AAACGTTCTAATGAGGAACAGCCATCTCAGCATGGTTTGCACTTTCCTGTGATGGATTGTATTATAATATATGCATACACTCTATCCAACTTCTATAAAACCACCCTCAAATTGTTCCAAATCAACAGGTAAACTAAGTAAAAATCACTTAGTATGTTTTATTCATGAAAAGATTTCAATTCATGTATTTGTGATTAATTTAATTAGAAAAATAATCATTCATTTATTTTTATGTATTAGGTGTGTCCATTAGTAAGCAATATGCATATATGTTTATACCTCATCTTTAAAGTGAATACATATAATAGCGCAGGTAACTTAACGATTATTTAAGGCATGCCTAAAATAATCGTTAAGTTACCTGCTATATAGCAGTTATATAACAACGCAGGTAGTCACATGAGAGATATAAGGTATAAACTTAAAGCACCGCAGTCTGTTTCAACCGACATAATCTAATATTTAAGTTTGGTGATATCACAACAATGCTCATAGTTGCTGTAGTGCATAGTTGTTGAAACGAAAAAGTGTTTATATATACAACAATGGAAAAATCTGCTGAATTGATTATTAAAAGGGTGCAATGTAGTGCCAACATAAACAATCCCAATTGCAGCCGCAATAATTTACGTAATTTATCATCAAGTCTCATAGAGAAAATACATTCATGGGGCTTTGATCATCAATTGGATGTAACAATGCGTATTTGTGAATCGTGTCGTGGAATTTTAGTGCACAATAGGACACCTCTCCCGAAAAAGAGGCGATCGGATGGAAAAGAATCAAGCCATGCTCGGAAGTTTGAAGAGCCGCAACCATCAACAAGTCATCAGCAATCAGAACATCAGGAATTTGATGATACACTAGGTACGAGTACAAATGACAAATTAAAAGTGTTATCAGTGCTCCCTAAATCATGGTCAGTGAATCAAATAGTTAATGAGTTTAATGCACCCCATCATACAGTGAAACAGATGAAAAGGCTAGTCAGAGAACAAGGTATTCTTTGTAGTAAGAAAGCAAGAAGTGGTCATGGATTTAATGATACTGAAAAACAAATTGTTTTAAATTTCTTTGACAGTGATGATATTAGTAGGCCTATGCCAGGAAGTAATGATAATGTTTCTGAATATCGAAATGGATATAAAGAGCATGTTCAGAAACGTTTATTGATGATGTCTCTTAAAGAGGCTTTTATGATTTTTGAAGGGCAAAGAGAGCAAGTCTTGCTCGAGATTATGGAAACACAATCACAACTCCACAAGAACTGTATGACTGGGCAGTTAAACAAACAGATACAAGCATAACAAAATTGAACTTCTGCTTCATATCAAATGATCAATACACAAAGATGTCCGATGAACTCAAGGAGCTGTTCAGTCATGTAAAAACTATACCTGGTACACAAAAATTTCATTGTTTTGTACCTATTTCTCAAAACATAATTTCTACTAAGCGATTTTCACATTCAAAGGAAACTCCGAAAAATTTCACTCCGTTTCCGATAGACTAATAATCAATGAAAAACTCAAATTATGTATGGAGAATTATAGGAAAATAAATTATGCACTAAACAAAAACACTAGAGTTTTCATTTATTAAAACACCATTCGAAATGCAGGAAAATCCTCTGTATTAGGCCCTTTCAAATGTTAGGCTAGATTTTTGTTTTAAGCACGCCCAGATTATCAAAAGGTCAAAATCTTTATGCTCATTAAGTTTCAACGGATTTTAATAAGGTTGTGCGCGTATTACTATTCGACTTTGAGTGAAACACGCTAAAAAAAATTAACATGAAAAAGTTGTTGTTCGAACAACTTTTTTTCCTTAAAACGCCCACTTTGCGATGTATGAAGAAAAGTTAGGTAATTATATTGCCTTTCATGAGAAAAAATATCAAGCAAATCTGAGGGGTACCATTTTTGGGAAAATGACTTTTAATTTTTAAATATATTTTTTTAGAGTGTAGAAACCAATTTTTTAATTTATTTAAATTTTTTTATAAAATTTCAGATTATTTGCTAAAAGTTTGCCATACATCACTATTTTGTAGGGCTTGTCATTTTTAAGCTATATCGATTTGAAAAAAAAATCGACAAAAAACTTTGACCCTTATCAAATGTTAGGCGAGATAAATTTTGAAAAAAATAAGTAATAAAAGTTGCTTAAAATTGCTAAGTCTCCACACCCACAAAGTTTCATAAGGTTCTGAGAGGGTGCTGCCAACTCCGAAGACGAGTTGGCGTGAAATCCGTCTAATGTCAAATGAATACTAAGAAAGATTTACAATAGAACTTTAAGCAAGATTCGAGAAAAATGGTGAGTGTTCTGTGTTCTGAGGTAAATAAAGAAAAATTCTGAAGAATTTAAATTAAAAAAGTTTCAAGAAAATTCAGCACAGAATTCCAAGGTATTCTTACTAAATATTAAAAACCGAGAATATGTTGAGATTTAAACCGGAAAAACCGGGAATTTCAAAATGAAAATTCACTGGCCACCATGAAGATGGCAGCCATCGGGTTTCTAAAAAACTGTCAAATACCCGCTGTGCATTGACGCTCCCCTTGTGTGTGGATCTTCATCAACCGTTAGCACCAGTCTACTCATTTGTCGATCATGGCGCCCGGCGGAAAAAAAGCATTGTCGATCTCGCTCTATCCGGCCTACCTTGCCAAAATAAAGGAACCCTCCCTCTATAAAAGGCCGACTTGTCATCGTGCTCGTTCTCTTTTCGTGTGGACAACTCAACGACGTCATCGACCATCATCGTCATCAGTGAACTAGCAGAACAAAACAAACGAAGAATTTATGTATATTTAAATAATTGTAGTTTAGCTGTTTAATAATAAATTTGTGAAGTTGGAATTATAAAAATAAAATTAATTTAAGACTATTGAACAATTTAAGTGTGAACTACCATTTAACAAGTGTCAGAAAAGTGCCTTAAAAGAAGATAATAAATTCTGAAAGAACTGACGAACAATGTTTATGTGTTCCCGTTGTGCTCGGTAGTGCCCAGGAACCAAAAATTAGCACCGAAACGCTGAGTTAACACCCGCAAAATGGATATTTCCTGAACGGAGACGACGTGTAGAGGTTAAAAATCGATATTGGACGCCATTTTGAAATCCAAGATGGTGGCCATTAGTTTTAGAAAAACTGTAAAATACCCAACCCATATTGTATTAGGGTCCTCAAATTCTAGTCAGTAAAGGCACGGTATTACCAAGCCGGAGGCGGCGGGTTCGATTCCCGGTCCAGTCGAGGGAATCTTTCGGGTTGGAAATTTTCTCGACCTCCCTGGGCTTATGACACACAATATACAAATTCATGCATTGGTATTGGCATCGAAAGCCCTCAACTAATAATTGTGGAAGTGCATTTAGAACACTAAATTAACAGCACGCATTAAGCTAATATGTTATTTGGATTCCTTCATAATTAGATGTTCATAAAAATACCTGATGAACTAGAAATCTTGAACAAACATCTAGAGGGCTTAATGCAAATCTTTCGTTTTTTTTTTGTTATGGTCACTTGGGTCATTCGTGACTTGTCCGGGGATGAGATTTGAACTCGCGACTTTGGCGTGAGAGGTATGGATGTTAACCACTACGCCGGGGTCGCGCCCCAATGCAAATCTTATTGAAATGATTATACAGTCACTTCTTGTTAAATCCGATATTGAAGGGACCATTGAGTTAGGCAGGATATCGAGATGGCCAAGTAAAATGGAGAGAGTGATTCAAGTAGCCTGGATTTTCATCGAGTCAGGGAGAAATCGAGTAAAGAGATTGAGATGTTTGATTGCGGATTTGGACAATTTAACAAAACCTGATAAACCATTAATTTTAAAAATATAAAACAAGAAATCCATTACGAAGTTTACTGTAAACGTTTATGAGAATTTTGGTAGCATGTGAGAATATGAAAACATTGAGATTTCAATTGTTGCATAGTGTGAGATCTTCAGAATAATACTTGATACACCTGATTCAAGGCTAAGCAATATCCAGTCAATTTGATGGAGAACTTCAATCATGCAACGTAACATGATGGACAGTTTAAATTCTTCAGAAAAAAAATCTTGACCAACCTGAAGTCTTAAACAAATATTTAGACCTCCCAGAAGTCGTCAGGTTATTTGTTCAAGATTTCAGCGGGATCATGAAGATTTTTGCTAAGCTAATTGCAATTATTTAAAGTAGTTCCAGTGCATCAAAATTAATGAAACTTTGGATTTAGGTCCCATTTTTACTGCACATTTCGAATACCTCAATAAACATCCCAATCGATGGATTGTATCATTTTTAAAGTTCATCACATCGAAATCAACCCCACCCAGCTAATTAATGACCCCAAACCCGTAAGCGAATTAAAATTTCGCCACCGCACGGTTCGACCCTTACCGACTGCTGATCGTTCCATTGTTTAAAGCCAATCTTCTTCTACACTTCTTACTCGCAAACCCAGCATTGCAAGATCGCGACCAAAAGAAAGAGCAATGAGATCTATTGGTGCACGATCTGACTGACTGACTGACTGACTGTCGGACGGACTGACGGTTTTCAATTTTCATACCCCCGCTGCCGCCTGCACCATAATTGGGGTCATCAGCTGAATTTTAAAATCTCGTCGTTTTCCCCAGCACCATGATTTCCGCAGGCAGCGATTCTTGACGCTTCATTGTTCTCACTGTCGACTCGGCAGTAGCAAGTTCTTGTGTCGCATGCAGCGCCCCCCGAAGCAAAGAGCATTGCGAGCCCTCGACGCGCCAACTAATCGAGCGAGGGCTCCCCGAAATTAATGGATTCATTTTTTTTTCTTTTGGTTTTGGGCCTCACTTATTAGGCAATCTCGGTGTTACGTTACCACTGAACGCGGGGCAACGTAATAATTGGCACAAACCACGATCGGGCCGCGCGCAAATTACGCCGTGGCAAATCTAATCAATTGGCTAATTACGACTGTTTTCTGCTGCTTTTTTGCTGTGTTTTCAGGAACCAACGTGGCGTACCGAAAGCCGGTGAACCAATCATCCGCAACGCGTTCCGGTCCGGCGGGGTTTGCCAACGATGGCAAACCGGGCAATCAGAACCCGGACGGGCAGGAGTGCTCGGAAACGCAGAAGGAAGCGTCGCCCTGGTGGCGAGTGGATCTTCTGACGCCGGAAGCGGTGCGAATTGTAAGGATCACCACCAGAGGCTGCTGCGGGCATCAACCTCTGCAGGATCTGGAGATACGGGTGGGCAACAGTAGTTCGGATTTGCAGAGGAATCCACTGTGTGCGTGGTATCCCGGGACCATGGACGAGGGGACGACCAAGAGTTTCACCTGTGCAAGGCCGTTGATCGGTCAGTACGTGACGATACAGCTGGTCGGGGTGGAGAGCAGTTTGAGCTTGTGCGAGGTGGAGGTGTTTTCGAACGATGAGTTCTCGCCGGATCGATGCGCGGCGCCGAATCTGAATGCGGACACGATCCTGACGACGTTTGCCAAGACGTGCTACGAGTTCCATATCACCAGGGGCGAGAGTTTTGAGAAGGCACGGCAGGTCTGCCAGTCTCACGGTCAGTATGAGCAGCAGCGCGCCATCTAAAATTAATCCCATTAACCCTCTCTATTGTTTCAGGAGGTGATCTAATGCACGATTTCCGGGGGGCCACCACGGATTACATCATTTCCGAGTTGGATCGGCGGAAGACGGACCTACGGACGCAGCTGGTGTGGATCGGAGCGCAGAAAGAGCCCGGTATTACGTCTCGCACCTGGAAATGGGTGAACGGTAAGCGCCGACCGTTAGATCTAAACTTGACTGTGGGAAATCAATTTGCAAACAATTTGCGATTGCGCGATGCATGTATGCATGCACCACGGCACGAATGATGATGCATTCACGCATGAATGCAGCCACAATTATGAGCCATCTTTTTCGGGCTCATCTCTGTGTTTTCGCTTTCGAGGGCGGGGACAATGGTGGGAACTTTTCCCACCCTATACGGAGATGCCTCGTGCGCGTTGTTCACATATCTAGTAAAGAGGCCCGACTTGCGAAAAACTCAAACTGTTCCTCATACAGAACAATTGAATTGGAAGATTGTGCTTCCATATTTCATGCTAAGTAGTTGCGAATTTGCCTGTGCCGATGAGAGGCGTCCGCTGGCACCATTTCGGGGGCGCTTATCTAATCATCTCCACCACTCGCTTATCGTTTGCAGGAGATACGGTGCTGAAGCCGACCTGGGGTAAAGATCAACCGAACAACTACAACGGAGAGCAGAACTGTGTCGTGTTGGATGGAGGCCGTAACTGGCTGTGGAACGACGTAGGTTGCAATCTCGACTATCTGAACTTCATCTGCCAGCACAGTCCACTGAGCTGCGGATCGCCGGAAGCCCTCGTCAATACCACCATTGTGGGGAAGAACTTCACCATCGGGTCGACCATCAGCTACAACTGTCCGGTGGGGCACTCGTTAATCGGAGACGCCCAGCGTCTCTGCCAGGACACGGGCGTCTGGAGTGGGCGACCTCCTACCTGTAAATGTACGTTACTTCCCATCCCCTACAATAGCAACTATCCCACTAATCCACATGTCCTTGCAGATATTGATTGCGGTTCCCTCCCTGAAATCGAACACGGTGGCATCATCTTGTCCGAGCAGCGCACCAGCTTCGGTGTCAAAGCCACCTACACCTGCCACGAAAACTACACCCTCATCGGCAACGAGAACCGAACTTGTCAGGCGGAAGGATGGTCCGGTTCCGATCCGAAATGTCTCGTCGACTGGTGTCCGGAACCTCCTCCGATCCAAGGTGGCTCCATCAAAGTGTCCGGGCGCCGAGCCGGTTCCACTGCCATCTACGCCTGCGATTACGGCTTCGTCCTCATCGGTGAACCAGTCCTATCCTGCGGTCTCGGTGGAAACTGGACCGGGAAAACACCCGTTTGCCGCTTCGTTGACTGCGGCATGCCTGCCCGACCGGATCGGGGCAACATGCTCCTCGTCAATGACTCCACCACCGTTGGATCCATGGTGCGGTACTTCTGTGACGATGACTACTGGCTAGTCGGTCCGCAGGAACTCTTCTGCACCAAGGACGGCAAGTGGTCCGGAAATGCACCTGCTTGTGAACGTAAGCTTTCATTCTCTTCCACTCAAAACCTCCTCCAAACCTCGTTCTTTTTCAGTGATCACCTGCGAAACGCCACACGTCCCGCCGGGATCCTACGTCGTCGGGTACGACTACAACATCCACTCATCCATCCAGTACCACTGCGATCCGGGTCATATCCTTCGCGGGGACGACACCCTAACCTGTCTCGAGTCCGGCCATTGGAGTGGTGAAGCGCCCGATTGCGAGTACGTCGACTGTGGTCCACTCACTCCGATTCCTTTCGGATCGCACCGCTACCTACAGAACACGACCTACCTCGGATCGGAAGTTCTATACTCCTGTTCCAACTCCCATCGATTGAGCGGTAGCCCCAAGCGAATCTGTTTGGACAGTGGCCTCTGGAGTGAAGCAGCACCACGGTGCGAGGAGATCCGCTGCCCAGAACCGACGTTCGCTCCACACAGCATTCTCAGTGTAACCGGAAACGATCGAATGTACGGGAGGACACTCATCCGGACGTCGGATGTGCCGGCCAACAGTGTGCAAACGTACAAGATCGGTGCACTAGCCAAGTACCGATGCGAGCGAGGTTACAAGATTGTCGGAGAGCCGTTGATAACCTGCGAAGAAAACGGACTCTGGAGCGGGCAGATTCCGGAGTGTGTCTGTAAGTATTGGCTAACTTTGCAATTTTTACAATTTAAACTAAATCCTTGATCATCAACAGACGTCGACTGCGGAGCACCTCCGTCAACCAAGCAGGTACGGGTTACGCTTGCTACCAACGCCACCTACTACGGAGCGGCTGCACTGTACGAATGCGATGCCAATTTCAAGCTGGATGGAGTATCGCGACGGTTGTGCATGGAGGATGGCAGCTGGAGTCACGAAACTCCGGCCTGCGTGGAGATCACCTGTGACGAACCGAACATGGCCGACAACCTGGTGGTAGATCTCGGCAGCCGAAAGGTAGGAACCGCCGCCAAGTTCAGCTGCTCCAAGGGTAGGTATATGATCGGCAACGGTACCCGGACGTGTCAGCTGACGGGAGTGTGGTCCGGTAGGAATCCGGTGTGTAAATGTAAGTGGTTTTTTTTTGCGGTCAGATTGCTGATTTGGGTGTGATGTTAAATGGGAATTTTTGTTTTGTAGTGATCGACTGCGGCCGACCGGCGGATATCGAAAACGGAAGGGTGATCGTAGTCAACGAATCCACCGTGTACGGTGGATCGGCTGAGTACCACTGCATTCCACACTACAACCGGATCGGGCCGTACCTGCGGAAGTGTATGGACGACGGCAAGTGGAGCGGCGAGGAGCCTCGTTGCGAATGTGAGTACTGCATGCATCGTTGTTGTTGCTCCTTTGAGTATGGTTAGGATTCGAAAGCTTAGGCGTCACTTGTAAAGATTCTGGAAACGCAGAGATACGAAGACCCAGCACCACAAGCAGGCATAATTTTGAATTAACTATTGGCTTGCGGTTCAATAGTTATACCTGGTGCCCATCTCCACGCATTCTTGGAGTGAACCTTTGTGTAGACTCGATGCTCTTTCCTGAAAGACCCTAAACCCGAATGGATGATGGATGGGGCAAGCCCAGATCGGTTTAAGTCACCTGATTGATACTGTGCCAGAACTATGTGAACTCCAGAGGATATTGAAAGGAAGTGCTTCAACTACATCTAATGCAAATAGATCGTTCTCCGTGTTGATACTGGCTACGACAAAGTCTTCCTCCGACTTGTATTGTTGATATATCAGCGTTTTCATACTTCACCGTGATCACGCAGACGATATTGAAGTTATCCAGCTCGTTAATGGCGGCATGCACAGGTTTTAAAACGCATCGTTCACTGTAATTTTTGACACAACTCGTTTCATTTTCCTCTGTTCCTTTGAGAGGGAAAGGGAGGGAGGGGTGAAAAGTCAAACCTCCAGTTAGGTTCAAAAGCTACAGTGAACGATGCATTTAAAACCCGTGTAGGCCGGCATTATCGAGCGCAGAAAGCTGAAGAGAGGTGAGAGCTGTTCCTGTTCACGCACTTTCAAATGCTCGCGAGTATGATCGATGGTGGGCCATGATTCGAGGGGTTCTCAATCCGTTCGTTGGCTCCTCGTCGAGTCCGTCCTTTGGATCGGTGGCCTAGACAACGCCCAAGCAGCACACTTCCATCGAAATAAGTTGCTGCAACTTGATTGAGACTGGAATGGGTTGCACACAAGTAACCACGATTGTTCAGTGACAAGTGTGCTGCTAGGGCGATGCCGGTAGCGGGGCCAGTTCTGGCAGCTTCTGCCAGTGGAGCTCTGCTATCTTCATCACTGACTGGTGCTGTTGTTGTTAGCAAAAGGCTGAACCTGAACCCTCTTCGTGGAAAATCATACGCTTTTGAGTTTTCAAACGAGAATCAGGCGGGACCTTGATTTGCCGCCTAAGTGCAGAAATCACTCTGCCGCCTAGTGATACGTGTATTAGAAAGGCTACTGGCAACCACTGCCTAAGATCTATTTTGTTTGAATTTTTATAGTATATCAGATCTCCTTTCCGCAGAATGTAAAACAGATTAGTCTTATTGTCTGTTTTTATAAAATGTGCGTCAGGGATATCATCATGCGATTTCTTAGTCAAATTATTTTTTAAACTATGCTTAGGGTTAATCAAGTCAAGTGTTGTCTTTGGTTTGTACGATAACAATCGTTCTGAGGGAAAACTTCCATTCTTTTCTAGATACATCCTTCACTAGCCGAACCATCTTCTCCGCCTGGCCGTTACTCTCCGGATGATATGGAGGGATCTTCATAACAATAACACCTTGCCTTTCAAAGAATTTTATGAAGTTATCCGAATTGAATGGAGGACCACCATCTAAGACATCTGGTATTCCATACCTTGCAAAAATGCCAATGAATACCTTTATGACTTTCCTATGATCCGTGCCAAGTCTCCTCAGTTCGACCTCTACCCATTTTGTGTAACTGTCCACTACTATAAAGAAAACCTTTTTATCGAAATAGAAAAAAAAAACAGCATCGATTCTGCTGAACGGTTTAGTCGTAGGAATCCATGGTGAATAGGGAGGTCTCTTGGAATTCAAAGTAGTTTCATGACAAATTCTACAGGATCTGACAAAATCCTCTATGTCTACATTCATTCCAAACCAGTAGACAGTCCTCCTGGCCAATTGTTTGATTTTGTGCATCCCGGAGTGATTTCGATGCAGTAATTTTAACAGAATCCGTTGCATTGAGTCCGGTACAACTACCCTATCCTGGAAAAGAATGCAGCCCTCCTCTTCTTCCAGGTCCTGGTAATGGGAATATACATCGACAAACCGCTTCTCCAGTCGATCTGGCCAGCCTTTCCGCAGATATTCAAGGATTTTTAATAAAAAATCATCATGCTTGGTTTCATTTGTAATCTGCTTATAGTTGATTGGAAATTCGTCAGTGAAATTTAAACTTTTTACGTATGCTCTATCTAGTTCCTTATGCACTTCTTGAGCGAGAGGGAAACGTGAACAAAAGTCTGCGTTACCCATTCTGGATGACGGCCTGTATATTATGTCGTATTCATAAATGGAAAGCTCAAAAACATAACGCTGTAACCTCGTGACTGACATCGGATTTCTTCCGTCCTTTCCAAAAATGCCAATCAGCTGTTTTTCCATACCGACAGTATGGATCCAATTATCAGGATCAAAATATTCTAGTACTTTTGGCTGCAAAAGGAATTGTTTACATTTGTTGGAAACTTTTTCGCAATCTGGACTCCACACAAACTTCAAGTCCTTTTTTAAAAGTTCGTATAAAACCCTTATTCGGGAAGATAAATTTGGGATAAATTTAGAATAATAAGAAATTAATCCCAAAATTGCCTTAAGCTCAGACACATTATGTGGAGCTTTTGCTTCACTAATAGTCCGGATTTTATCTGGATACGGTAGAAGACCATCTTTAGTCAAAATGTGACCCAGATACGGCAATTTGCTTACAAAAAAATTGCACTTGTCAATATTAACTTTTATATTAGCGCTAGATAATCGTTCTAGGACTACATAAAGTTTAGCTTTGCAATCCTCTAAATTTTTCCCAGAAATAAGAACGTCGTCTAGATAGCAGGAAACGTTTTCTATACCCTGCAACACTTGGTCCATGACTCTTTAAAAAATTGCAGCGCTAGATGAAGCTCCTTGCAGAAGCCGATTGTAAACAAACAAGCCCTTTATGGTGTTAATTACCATAAACCTTCTGGATGTCTTAGAAATTAAAAGCTGTGAATAAGCTCCAGCCAGATCCAGCGTAGGTGTTTGGAATTATAAGTTTGTTTATAGAGACTTTGCAGTCTATTATCAGTCTAATGCTGTTGTCATTTTTTAAAACAACTACAACCGGTGAAGCCCACTCACTAGCTCCCACCGGAGTTATAATACCACCTTTTTCCAACGAATCCAGATGCTCAATAACTTTTGGCTGCAATCTCAAAGAGACTTCATACGCTTTTTTTTAAATATAGGTGTATCATCCTTAAAAATGAGATTTCCCTCAAAGCCAACTATCGGGTTAGACAATTTTTTGTCGAAACACGTTGCAAACTTACTCTTGATGTCTTCCATCGTTTGATCCACCGTTAGGGCGTTTACTCGTTGCTCAGGAACCGATGAACTAGAAAATGAACTCCTCCAACCATCGTAGAATACGTCGGGCCATGTCCGTCCCATTAGCGGAATGAAATCCTTCTCGCAAGGCAGCACCACCAAAAACAAATCCATTCGCAGACCATTCATCCGAGCTGTAACTTACTTTACCCAGAACAAACAGCTTATTTACATCAATTACAAACAATATTTTCCTAAATATTTCAATTGGACAGTTCTTGAAGTTCCTCAGGTAAACCTCTTCGGATATTACGCTCTCAGCAGACCCGCAATCTACCTCCATTGACATTTTACGATTTTCAATTACTACATCTGCGTAATACGGTTCGTTAACTCCTCGCCTTGAAGATATCATCATGCAAGCTGCATCTTCATCGTCCGATTCTAAACTTAACTCGTATTTCAATCTCTTGAAAAGACCAGTAGCAACAATCAATACGAAACTAACGATTTTAAATTGGCTCACCACTTTAGTAGCCTATTGGTCCCAAGCAAACGATTAACGTACCCTATTCTAGTTGAAATTCTATTACTACACTATGTTTGTTTTGATTCGCTATGAAAGTTTGACAGATAACATCAGGGGTGTGTGGATTCATGCAGAACATGCAGGGGTGAGTGAAATAGCTTGGGACTGCTTGAGACCGTTGTTCTGGTACTGAGTGAGCCAAAAATAATAATGATTTTCTTCGGGACCCAGTGGTCTTAGAGTTACCTCTATGCTACTACTGTACTGGGAACTATCCTCTGTTTCAGTGTGGTACTTTCCAACGAATGTCAGTGACGGATAAAGGTTCATAGCTACGGTAGGAATTATTATTATTATTATTTATCTTTATTAGGGAGGCTTTCAGCCTTGGGCTGGTTCGCCTCCAAGAAACGGTAGGAATTGTCACATCACAGACAAACAGACGTAACTCTTTGAAAAAGTTTATCTTGAAAACATAGTATCTCAAAGCATATGACCTCAGTAACGACATCTCTCGAGCTTCTCGCGGAAAACAATCTTGCTCGCTAGCTTGCAAACAATATTGCTTAAAAGTTCTATAGAATGTATAGCAACGTCAAAGTGATCCGATGCCAGCGCTGCGGCGAGTAGTTCGCGGAACTGATAATATTCAAATCAACCGTTAAATGCATGAACGAAAATACACAATGAAGTGTTACGTCTGTTTGTCTGTGGTCACATGTTTGGTTTGCTTTAAACCTGAAAGGGACTCCAACCCAAGGGTACTAACCGAAAGCAGCTACGTGGCCAAGGAAACTCCAGAACCTATGCCTACTTCCACTCAATCGGCATATCATCTATCCAATATCTCTCCTCCACAAGTAGCTAACCTGGCAGCTACTGACAGATTAGAAGCCGGCACAGTGCACCAATGCTCGTCGAAGGTTGCAGTTGTCGTAGATCCGGATAACGACGGCAATAGGATGCTAGCTCGCGCTCTTCTCGATTCAGGATCGGAGAGTATCTTTATCACCGAATATCTCGAAGCAAGGTGGATATTTCGGGCCTTGGCATTGGTCAGGCAGCATCCTAGGTCAAACAAAGGATTGTGGTAATGATCCGTTCCCGGCTGTCGGAGTTCTCGCACCAGATGGCCTTCCTGGTACTTCCGAAGGCAACAGCCAACCTCCTAACCGCTAGCAATTTTCGACTTCTTCGACTCTGGCAGGAAAATCTCATTTGGGGAACGACTTCCGGCCTTTCAGGAATCCGTTTTCGGTTGGATTGTCAGCGGAGGATTCGTAGACGGTAATCAGGGTTGGCATATCAACTGCAATACTGCAATTATGGGTCGGTTGGAGGAACTACTTACTCGTTTCTGGTCCATGGAGGAGGTAGACTCCAAGAACAATTATTCCCCGGAAGAGACTCACTGTGAAGCTTTTCGAGTACAGTCCTGCGAGGACCGGATGGTTGGTACTCTGTATCGCTTCCCAAAAATGAAAACGTCATCTCTTGGATAGTCTTTTTTGTGTGTAGGGATTTGAACTACTGCAATCTATTGTGGTATACCCTGTTTAGGCTCTAAACCATCTGGCGAATTATTTTAACTTTTGGTTAAAATTTGACAGATGAAAAGTTATCGATTAACCCTGCTATCCGAGCGTGGTTACTTCTGACAGACAAGAAGTTAAATTTTGACAATTGTGGCTCGAAAACCGGTCGATCGACAGCACGGGGATTTTCGAACATAGAAAATAACTTTCGAAATGTCACTTTTAACCACGAGTTAAATTTAACTCGGCAAATGGTTCACAGCCTTAGGCTGTGAACCATTTGCGGAGTTTAGAGGTAACTATTGTTGGTATTAGTGAGATCTTGTATCGAGAAGTCAATAAGCATCTACGAACAAATAAGGTGCAATGGCGTCCTACAAAAAAGGTACGCCTAGTTTTTGGCTTTCTACGGACAATTGCGTAGAACAAAGAAATATTCTTTTGCTATAAGAATATAACAATCGTATGGAGTAGTTTTTTTTTTTGGCGGAAAAAATCAAAAAATCCCTTCCGACACTACGCTCCACAAAGAATAAGATTGGGTATTTTAAAAAAAATCACTGGCACACCGTTCAATACGGGAGAAACATTATTTCACAGATGATTTTCACGAATCACTTATTTTTCACCAATTCCAAAAGCACCAATTACGCCAAGAAAATCACGCCAAAATGCTTTTATGCCACACGGGTCGTAAAAAACTGGTGCACACTTAATAAAATCATTTTATCCTCGTCGCCACTGAAATGGACAGATAAACTGATAAAGGCAGACGTTCTTCGGAATAATTTAAACTGGTCTCCGTTGTCTTCAAAGTACTAACGAAATATCGTTTCTACTGAAAGTGGGGTCTTTCCATCTTGCCACCACAGTTTCCATCCTCTACACTCCCGGATGGCCCTTGTGGAGTTGACTCAAGTGCCTTTTTCGGTAGACCTGTCTCCGAACATTATGCAGCCTTAGACGATGGACAAGCTTTCCTGACGATTTTGAAATCGCTGCTGTTCCCAGTCTAGAGTGTTGGTTTTCGACTTATGCCAACTTGGTTGCCTCTTGGACCATGCTGCAACTGAGAGGTTGTTGATGTTACCGATTGCTACTGACCTCAGATCTTCCTCCAAGCTGGTGGAATCTTCGTCCGGCTTGGCATTGGCTTGGTTGATGAGCCTGGACAGTACATCGGCGTTCCCGACGTCAGAGCCCAACGCTAGAGCCGGTTGGCCGTGTAAACCGGTATACCCTTTTTGGTTGCACAAATTCGTAGAAGTGGAGCATGGTCTGTTTGAAGCCGGAATCTTCTCCCGTATACGAACTTGTGGAACTTTGTTAATGCAAACACGATTGCCAGACCTTCACGATCCGGCTAAGAATAGCGTTGTTCTGAAGCAGTGAGACGCGTGCTGAATGACCTTGATCTTGCCGTCGAGGAACTTATGACTAATTGTTGCCCCAACTCCATGATGCGTCGGCGGACACTATCATTTCCAGCTTCGGATCATAATGCGTGAGCAACAGGTCGGAGGAAAATATCTCCCTGAACTAGTCAAAAGCATGCTGGCATTCAGGAGTCCAGATGAACGATGTGCTGATCTTGAGTAACTCGTCCAACGGATAACGTAGGGTCCGCATGTTTGGGAAAAACTTCCCATAGTAATGTATAGTGCTAAGGAGGGAACGAACTCTGCTGTGCTGATGTCTTTTGGCGGAGGCATGTTGTTGATAGCTGCAATCTTAATAGATGACCCAGGTACCGGATCTGAGGTTTCGCAAAAGAGCACTTATGGTGAAACCGTAGTCCTGAATCCGCTGTACAACTGCGTGCAGGTAGTCTAGGTAGCCAGAAGTTCCCGGATGTCCCGACAACATGGTATCTATTAACTGCTGAAACGCCCCAGGTGCAACTTTAACTCCGGGTGGCAACCTGTTGTATTGATACAGGCCCCGGTGTGTTGATGGTAAGCATTTTGCGGCAGCTTTCATCCATTTCTATCTGTAAGAATGCATCCAACAGGTCGATTTGGTGCAGTTAGCCAATTTTGAAAAAATGTCCTGCGGGAGTGGGAGCGGATACAGGTGAGACTGAAGCCGTTCGTTGAGCCCAGTGGAGTAATTTCCGACCACTCGGAGTAGTTCACCGGAGAAATGATGTTCAAACGTTCCAAACGGTCGAGTTCCTCATCCACCGTGGATAGCATGGCGTAGGAAACCGGCCTACGATGACGAAAAATAGGCCGACATGGCTCTTGAAACACTAGCTTGATTTTTGTTTTTGTACACAACCCCAAAGTGCTACTGAACAGGTTGGGATATGCTTTCTGCAGGGAACTGTTTTTTTTTTTTTTTTTTTTTAATTTTACAAGACCCGAAATGGCCGAATTTTAGCAAAAACGTGAATGATTGCCCATAACAAACAATTATGCAAAGTTTCATGCAAATCGGAGAAGGTCATGTCTGAAATTCATTTTTATTTTTGGCTATTTGGCTTTTTTTATACAGGGGGAAATCTGCTCACAGACACCTGAGAAGGAACTCAGGGTGTGGGGAAGGGAGAATTTCACTCCCGACCCACTAAACCTTACCCTGTGCGCTTGGCCCTTGACCTCCCCGGAACCGCCCGAAGGCATTACTTCGTGGAAAGGGCATTTGGCTTGGAAATGCTCAAATGTACTTACGTTTAGAATTATGTAACGATTTTTGGGGCATGAAACGGATAATGAACCCAACACCCTATTGTTTCCCCCTCATTTCAGTGATCGTCAACGATGCCCAGGAGACGAACAGCCTTGGCACCGGCATAGCCATCGGCGCCGCCATCATCGTCATCCTGTTGATCCTGATCGGAGTCCTCTTCCTGCATCGGAACAAAGCCCGCCCGGTCAAGAACACGGAAAACGTCCAGGCAGCGGAACACAAGGACGAACAGAACGCGGCCGTCATGTCCTACTCCTCGCTGGAGAACGGTCGCCACAACTTTGACCTACCGAACCGGGGCAACCTGCTCACGTTCAACACGTTCCAAGGTGGAGCCAATGGAGGTGGCGGCTCGAACGGCCACCCACCACCACCCAGTAGACTTAATAATAACGGTAGCATTAGTGTAAGCAATAACAATAGCATTAGCAGTAGGCACATGAACGGCGGGGGCGGGGGCGGGGGCGAGAACATCTACGACCAGATACCAAATGAGCAGTTCTACGATGCACCGTACGAGATGCGAAGCAACGAAGAAGTGTACGAACCGGAACCCACCGCCAGGGGGAACGTCATTACCATCAACGGGGTTAGCGTGCGATGAGCGATCCGCCCTTTTACCTATTAATCGTAATATAGATTTGGTTATTTAGTTTGTATACCCCCACACAACACAACAACCGAACAATTGAGACTTAGGCCGTCTTTCATCAAAGAACACTAAAGTGAAAAGACGGAAATTTTTAAAACAAGAAAAAATACTAATTTATTTAGGCCTTCCTGGTGCCCGTTTCGGACGCTGCTTTTTGTGTAAATATTTCCACCCTCTAGAAACGCTATCTAAACCTATACGAAAATTTTATCAAACGCGCGAACGAAACCGCCACAAAATCGATAGGAATTGTATAACAAAAAATACTCTTGGAAAGAGCTTCTTAGTACTTTGTACATATTAAAATGTAACAGTAAAATTAAACCACCCCAACCCGAAACTTACTGAATACCGAACCAAACTCCCTTCAAAAATTCTGCAACTTCACAACCCTCGACTTCTTGATCGACTCCCTACAAATGGGACAAATCGGCCGCTCGTCCAGCCAGTTCAGGATGCAAACCCAGCAAAAAAGATGTCCACACTGCGTGGCGCTCAAATCTATGGCCATCTCCATACATAGAGCGCACCTGCGATTGCTGCTGCTAGTTGTCGACCCACTCGCCACTCGAACAGCAGATCCTACCTCGCTATTTACGCTGGCAATGCTGCTTCTAGCTTTTTTACGTAACTCCACCCATTTTACTATCAAAGATAACAGGAGTTGAAGCAAGGTGACTACTCCGAGTATCCGGAAACCGTAGATTGAATGATCTTCCTTAAGCCAGTTCCGGATGAGGATCTGAAATTTTCTAAGTTTATCAAACGGCAACCAGAAGCTAATTCTATAAACTTACGTAGTTGATCCTCGTTAGTCGTTTGGAAATGTGATACTTTCCAGCGTAGATGTAGAACAAACTGGTGTGGAACCCCCGGACGTATGGAACAATAAACTTGATCCCATCCAGGAACCTCACGAAACTTTCCTTCGCCTCCGGTAGCATCTCTTCGCTGCGGTCGATCTCGGTCTGCAGCCGGGTCAGGATTCGGTCGACCACGTGCTCTCCGCCATATTCCAACAGGATGGCGAAAATTTGCAGCTGCAAACATTGTAAATCGTATCATTGTTCTAGAACCCGGAAAAAAAATCCCCCAACCTACCGCCTTGTTCGGTAGCATCACGTAGTTGGAATCGACCTGGATGATTCCGGTGTATTCCTCGCCCAGCGTCTGCAGGTTGTGCACGATGGCATACTGATGGTAGAGGACCTCCGCGATCAGCTTGCACAGGTGGTTATATTTGAACCAGTTTTTCTGGCTGACCAGCAGCAGAACGTCGCTCAGCTGAGAACGGATTTCGTCGATGTAGGTCTGATCTTTTTGGATCGTGCGAATTATTTCCGCCTGGCCAGCGTTGGCGTGGTACAGTGACATTTTGCCGACCGGTGATAGCTAAAACGTATTAAATGATTTTGGTTTCAAAAATATGCAGGCCTAATCAACCCCAATGTCTCCTAACAACTGATAGGCAATGCCAAAGCGCTATCTACATGTGAGTGTCACATGCAGAGCATCAACGACGAACGAAAGGGAAGTTTACGCCAATCATTTTGATTTGCTGCGTTTCAGTGGTTATCAAACTTCTCTTTCGTGACAATGAATTTAACCAATCAACGTACCTGCTAATCGACTAGTAGTTTTATAATCGAATGTAAAAATTAATTCACTACAAAGTTAACAATTTTCACAACATCGCATGAGATCTTGCTGTTTACACATTTGTTGTGACATTTAAAATTTAGCGAAGAAGCTAATCTCAGGCAGTGCTGCCAAAATTCAGGAATATAGGAATTCCGGAGTTCTTTTTGATTGGGTCGTATGTAGCATTATTGTCAATTTGAGAAACGAGGTGTTTTGTTTTAGTGAACAAAAAATTGTTTCTATTTTCAAATAAATAGATAATTCCTTTAAAGTCCCCATTTACTAACTTCTCAGGAGTGCTCCTATCGGTTGAGTAAAGTATTGATAGCGTTTCTGTTCAAAAATAAACATTTTTTTTTAACTCATCACACTAATAAAAATTCAATGATTATTTTTATGTGTCCTACACATGAATTTTTGCAATATGATTACTTCTTCTTCTTATTCACATTTCAAGCTTATTGCTTAGTGCATATTAGCTTATTGCGTGCTCTCAACTTAGTGTTCTAAATGCACTTCCACAGTTTTTAATTGAGAGCTTTCGATGCCAATACCAATGCATGAATTTGTATATTGTGTGTCAAGCACAATGATACTCTATGCCCAGGGAAGTCGAGAAAATTTCCAACCCGAAAGATTCCCTCGACTGGACCGGGAATCGAACCCGCCACCACCGGCTTGGTAATACCTTGCCTTTACTGACTACACGGATAGAAATCTCCTTATACCTTTTGGCAAATTTCCATTGCTGATTATTCATAAATTGTATAAGTCAACTAATAAGCACACGCCTTGCAGAAAGTTAGTAAAGATCATGTGTCAAATGAAATGTATAATTGGTCACACATACCTTTTATGTATTCTAATAGGACCTATGTGGTTTGTCTTATGGAATGTATAAGGCTGATGCTTTGGCAAAAATGTATAAGTGAAACACATGAATTAAATAATTGATTTTCGTTTCGTGTAGGCTATGAGGCAATATGATTAACAAATGATATATATATGTGTCGGACACATAGTTTTTATATGTAAACATAAAATTCATGTGTAACACCACATACTATTCATTTCAGGCATAACATTTGACAACGGCACAAAAGCATTTGTAAATAAACTTTTTAAGGCCCTTTACACGTGAACCAAAGTACACTGAGGCAAATAAACTTAACAATTTCATAAGACTCGACTTATGAACGACATATATGAATTTCATAAACGCGACTTATGAAAGATTTTCGTCTAACATAACGTAGCCCTTATACGCCTTTAGCCATTCCATTTTCTTAAGCGTTGAAAGACGAGTGGTCAACACACGAGCTCCGTAATCTCAACGTCCATGGTTTGATTCCAGTCTGCTCCTACCCAAATAAACAGATACCATAAACGAACTGTATCCCATGGGTAAACTATCCCACAAATGGTTTGGATAATACCCCGAACACGTCGTTAAGCTCTCTTTTATGGTTATTTTTATTACGGTATATATTATTTTTTTTTTTGTCAACATTATTTTTCATAAGGCAAATCAATGAAATTCATTTTGATTTCTTGTGGCTAAAATTCATAAGTGTTTCTTATGGAATTCTTACGTCTTTTGCCTGCGTGTACGCTCACGCAAACCAATACAACTTTCGGAAAGGTGATAGCTGCCCCTATCCGATGATGTTGTTGATTTGCGTGGGTGTACTTTGGTTCACGTGTAAAGGGCCTTAGACAGTTTGTTTACAAATGCTTTTGTGCCGTTATCAAATGTTATGCCTGATTTGACGCATACATTTCATGCGTACTTCTGAGTGGAGTCGGTTTATGTGTGGACTCATGAAAATCATGTGGAATTTTACAGAGAAATTCGCCAAAGAAAATGTGTCGAATTTTATGAGTGCAGCAGGCTTGTAATTAATCATATTTTGTTGTTTTTGACATCATCCACATCCAGAGGGCCAGTCATTTTTGAATGTATGGGCACAGACAAACAGACGTAGCTCTTCAGTGTGTATCTTCGTTCATGCATTTAACGGTTGATTTGAATATTATCAGTTCCGCGAACTACTCGCCGCAGCGCTGGCATCGGATCACTTTGACGTTTCTATATATTCTATAGAAATTTTATGCAATATTGTTTACAAGTAAGCGAGCAAGCTTGTTTTCCGCGAGAAGCCAGATAGATGTCGTTACTGAGGTTATATGTTTTGAGATACTATGTTTTCAAGAACAAGTTTTTCAAAGAGTTACGTCTGTTTGTCTGTGGTATGGGAATGATAGGAAACCATTTGGAAATGCATGAAAATTTTCAGTTTTTATTCATTATCGTCTTTATTGGCAGTTTTAGATGCACGAAAATTACACGAGTACATTACTATGGTGATAAGGTAAACACTCGTTTATTTGTTTCCCTCTGTGAAAGCATGTTTAGTCCAGAGTCTATGTTATAATAAGAGTCCCGCCAAGAGTGAAGCCAGATGTACCAATCGAACTGTCAAGCGGGGTACCAAACGAGCAAAGTAAATAAACACCATTGTTCCCACAGCCAGTCAAAAGTATTGACAATATTTTAGTAATTTTAGATGCAAAACATTTCTTCGCTTTATTTAGTACATTGTGGTATTTATACCAAGCACTTGTTTGAACCTTTTTCAGGTTCTATATTTGTTTTTGTCTCCCAGAAGCTCCGTTATCGACATGAAATTTTTCACTTTGGAATGAAAGTCATCCGATGCTAACGCAAAAAATCTGGTTCCCGTTTACTCTGACGAAAAATAAATCCCAAACAGTGCTGCTTGTTCGCAACATTTTCTTTTGGCGGGACTCTTATTATAACATCGACTCTGGTTTAGTCACAAATCGTAGATTTTCTGATATTATCCATACTGCAAAAATGATTTTTCTACCACTGAAGGGGCGACATCTCTCGGATCTTCAGTAAAGCTACTACTCAAATCATATAATCAATTGTTCATTACAGCTAAAATGCTATTTTTCGTAATTATGAAACTATGAGATACTATAATAATAATTTTTATTTGTAAGAAGCAAGAATAGGTGGCAAAGTTTGTGTATGAGATAAAAAAAAATGTCAATTTTGCTTTCAGAAGGTCACAGATAGCGATGGTATGATCAACAATCAATACGAAACTAACGATTTTAAATTGGCTCACCACTTTAGTAGCCTATTGGTCCCAAGCAAATGATTATTTATTTATTTATTTATTTATTTATTTATTTCATCAACCGATGTAGACTAGTACAAATACATATACAAATTTGTTTTTCTTAAGAATATTAAAAAATATATTGTCAGCTATTATATTTTTACTTCCTACGAGTTATGATTCCGTATGGAGTTAAAATATTGTTTTAGTTTATGCCGAGACATTGAGAAGTCAATGGTTTCGCAGTATTGATTGTAAGACGCCATCATGCGATTTAATGGCCCAAATTTTGCATAATTTGTGCGATGATGGGTTACGGCAAATAAATTTCGATTTCTGAGTTGTCGAGTAGGTACATAAAAATTTAATTTTGATAAAAGTTCTGCTGAGTTAATGCGCTGCGAAACGATATCGTTTACAAACGAAACCATTGCATATTCACGACGCTCTTTTAATGTTTGTATGTTTATAAGCATGCAGCGTGCTTCATATGATGGAAGAGGAAATGATGTCCAACCTAATTTACGAAGGGCATATAATAGAAATTGCTTTTGTACTGATTCTAATCTTTCTTCGTGCGTGATTGAAAATGGAGACCATACAATGCTGCAATATTCCAGTATTGACCTCACATAGGCAATATATAGTGTTTTAATTGTGTAAGGGTCCTGAAAGTTATAGCAAAAGCGCTTGATAAAGCCTAGCATGTTATTTGCCCTGTGAATAATTGTATTGTAATGGTCTATGAAAGTTAGTTTGGAGTCTAAGATAATCCCTAAATCCCTGACTCTTTCACATTTTTCTACATTCTGATTTCCTAATGCAATTGAAATGTTTGATGGTGTTCTTTTTCTGCTAAATGATATTAAGTTGCATTTTTTTACATTCAGTTCTAATAGGCTTTTTTTACACCATGTGTAGAATATGTGTATTTCCCTCTGGAATATATTGATGTCTTCATCATTTTTTATTTCCAAAAAGAGCTTCATGTCGTCGGCATAGATTAGCAATTTTATTTTTTTGAGAATGAAGGAAATGTCGTTTACGTACAGAATAAAAAGAAGAGGTCCCAGATGAGAGCCTTGCGGGACTCCTGAGGTGACTTGAATTGGGGTCGATTTCTTTCCGTTGAATTTAATTATTTGTTGGCGGTTAGTTAAATATGATTCAAGCCATTTCAGGAGTCCTGGCTCAATTCCAATTTTTTTCAATTTGAAAAGAAGCATTGGTATGTCAATTCGGTCAAATGCCTTGCTAAAGTCTGTATAGAGAGCTTCTACGTGGTTTCCATTATCCATTGCATTTAATGAATAGTCTATAAATTCAAGTAAATTTGTCGAGGTCGAACGTCCTTTAAAGAAGCCGTGTTGCATGTCAGTAATTCTATTTTTGGTTTGAAGAAATAATTTTTCATTTACAATTGCCTCGAAAAGCTTTGGAATGCAAGAGATAATGGCTATTCCACGATAATTACGTACGTCAGATTTTCGGCCAGATTTAAAAATAGGTACTAAAAATGAGCTTTTCCATATTTTTGGGAAGGTTCCGGATTCCAGTGACATATTAAAAAGCCAAAACAATGGAGCAGTGAGTTCCATTGCTAGACTTTTTAAAAATACTGGAGGAATTCCGTCAGGTCCAGGACCTTTTGAGGCGTCTAAATTCTTTAAAGCCTGCAAAATATCCTGCACTTGAAGTTGATTGACGCCAATGTCCCTTGAAAATTCTGGATTAAATGCAAAATAATCGCGGTCGCGATCTTCATCGGAAAATGTCGTATAGATTTCTTGAAAAAAAATTGCAAAAAGCTTACAATTTTTTTCCGAGCTATCCCCGACACGTTCGTCAAGATGCATTATTGATGGAAAATTGTCAGATTTTAATTTGGTTTTTACGTAATTAAAGAAGTTCTTTGGG